GTCGTCATGTCCGTTAACGACAAGTGGCACTACTGCCACAACTCGGAGGTCCTGGTGGGCTCCAGGGCCATGAGGGACCGTCACCTGCAACTGCTGGGCTACATCATCCTGCAGGTCAGTCCAAAGAGCAATCAGAACCTGGGTCGGGTCAGAACCAGAACCCTGCTACTCAGCAGAAGTTACTATTCTATTCAGCTTATTTCTATGCTCCGCTCCCTTCATGTGACTTCATAGATCCAGATCAACCAGATGGTCCCGTCATTGACTGCAGCAATCCCTCACAGCAGGTAGAGGTTCAGAGAGGACCGACCCAGTTCCTTAGGCCAGGCTAATGTTAGCTTAGCATCAGCTCAGTAACAAAGGGGATTTCATCATGCTTCTGCTCTGCTGTCAGTCAGATTCGACCCACAGCGCCCTCTGCTGTTCTGATCAGAACATAAATGCTCTGAAAGCCTCAGAACCTCAGCAATGGAACCACAAAGTAGCTCCACAATGTTCTAAATGTTGGACTAGAACCGGGCCTTTCTAGCGGTTCAGTGGGACCCTGTGGGGTGGTGGTGCCGTTCTGTTCTGGACTGGATGTGACCCACTGTCTCTTTTGTCCTCCCTCAGCTGCCGTACCATGAGCTGGAGAAGCTGAACGGCATCGAGGAAGTGAAGCAGTACCTGCACCAGAAGCTGCTGGACGTCCCATTATGACCTCGCCGAGGGGGCGGGGCCAGATCCGTCAGAACGCGTCTCAGTGGACCTGCTCAAGACTTCCTGTCTGCAAGGAGCAGCTCAGCCACTCTGATTGGTTACTGTGGCTTCCCCAGGTGGACTCTGATTGGCGGCCGAGGGCGGCCACGGTGGACTCTGATTGGCTGCCATGGTGAGCTCTGATTGGCTGCCATGGTGGACTCTGATTCCCATCAGGCTTTGCGGCAGCCTGCAGGTGTGAGTGAATGTAATGGGGTTCTGAGGGCAGGGTTTCATTTTCTTGTGTATCCATGGTAACTGTGATGCATGAGGGACTGTTTTAAGCATGTGCCAAAGGTGGGAGGAGTCAGAGTATTTATTTGTGTATCTGGGAGGACGGACAGAAGGTTGTTTATATTCTCTTATCAGCTGAAATGTCTATAAAAGCTGAAACCAGCTGCAGCGGCTCCATTTCTTTACTTCTTCTTCTTCTGCAGCAGCACAGCTGATATTTCTCTCCAGGATGGAGTCACAGCCAAACAGGAACAGACCAGATGAAGCTACTATGAGAAAAAGCAGAGAGAGCAGAACGTTAGAGATTGAACTAACAGATTCTGCAGAGTGGGAGAATAGAGATAGAATGAAGCAGAATGATGAAAAAGGGGTCCCTATGTCCTCCAGCAGTCTAAGCCTATAGCAGCAGAACTACAGAGATAGAATGAAGCAGAATGATGAAAAAGGGGTCCCTATGTCCTCCAGCAGTCTAAGCCTATAGCAGCAGAACTACAGAGATAGAATGAAGCAGAATGATGAAAAGGGGTCCCTATGTCCTCCAGCAGTCTAAGCCTATAGCAGCAGAACTACAGAGATAGAATGAAGCAGAATGATGAAAAAGGGGTCCCTATGTCCTCCAGCAGTCTAAGCCTATAGCAGCAGAACTACAGAGATAGAATGAAGCAGAATGATGAAAAAGGGGTCCCTATGTCCTCCAGCCGTCTAAAGGCCAGAAATCAAAGAATCCAGTTTAGTGCCCGGTGCCACAGAAAATGGTGCCATAAGCTACGTTCACACTGCAGCCTACAGTGACCCAAATCCAATTTTTTGGCCCACATGCAACCTGGATGTGATCTTTTCGTGACAGTCTAAACAACTCAGATCGGATTTTCCCAGGCTGCCTGGCTCTTAGGTCCTAACTCCGATAAGGATCTGATCTTTTTAAATGCGACCTGTGTCTGAGTGGCCAGGTCGCATTCATCCGACGTGAACGCCATTAATACCTGACAAAGGTCACTATTCTCAATCTTTGCAAGATGGTTAAACATAAATACTGCTCTCTGCATTATCGTCACACCATGGCAGACGATGATGCAGAGGGTAGTATTTATGTTTAACCATCTAGAAAAGATTGAGGTTTTATGGTTGAAAAAGATCACTAGATGCGCGCCGGCGCTACCATCCATGTTTACTTCCATAAACATGAAGCAGGCTGGCCTGTGACATCATTGCGTCCTCTACTGCGCATGCGGGATATTTTCATTGTATGACTGCAGTTCACACAGGAGATCACATACAAGTCGCATATATTTGCAAATATGAACGACAAAGCAAAAAAAAATCGGATTTCGCAAAAAATTGGTATTGAGCATCAAGGCATTTAGAGGTGGTGGCGTTTAGCGCTGATTGAGAGTCAATGGGGCTGATTTCCTGCAGGGGGCAGCGTAGCTCTGAGATAGAGCCCAGGTCTATTTTAGAGCAGCAATTTCATGGGTCTGACAGGAAGAGAGACGCGCTAACAAAGTAAAACACATCCGCTTTGGGGATCTGCAGCTTAGCTGTAGCGATAGCCCAGGATAACCTGAGCCTCTCCAATTATTTATGTCACTAAATACTGTCAGATTTAGATTATGGTATATTACTTTAGTCCAAACATCCTTTCATTTGTTCATCCACTGATGATGAGGATGATTGTTGACATGATGGACTGATGGTTTCCTATCAACATTTGTAACTCAGCTCTTTGAGCCTCATCCTTCCTGTCCCCCTGGCAGCGGACTCTGAGCTGCTTCCTGTCCCCCTGGCAGCGGACTCTGAGCTCCTTCCTGTCCCCCTGGCAGCGGACTCTGAGCTCCTTCCTGTCCCCCTGGCAGCGGACTTTGAGCTGCTTCCTGTCCCCCTGGCAGCGGACTCTGAGCTCCTTCCTGTCCCCCTGGCAGCGGACTCTGAGCTGCTTCCTGTCCCCCTGGCAGCGAACTCTGAGCTCCTTCCTGTCCCCCTGGCAGCGGACTCTGAGCTGCTTCCTGTCCCCCTGGACTCTGAGGACCACCCAGGCTACCTCAGAACCATCGTATCCCTAACTCAGCTCTTTGAGCCTCATCCTTCCTGTCCCCCTGGCAGCGGACTCTGAGCTGCTTCCTGTCCCCCTGGCAGCGGACTCTGAGCTCCTTCCTGTCGCCCTGGCAGCGGACTCTGAGCTCCTTCCTGTCCCCCTGGCAGCGGACTCTGAGCTCCTTCCTGTCCCCCTGGCAGCGGACTCTGAGCTGCTTCCTGTCCCCCTGGACTCTGAGGACCACCCAGGCTACCTCAGAACCATCGTATCCCTAACCCACTTGGTCTCAGTTAAATGCTGCTGTGATGTCACCATGATGTCACACAATGAAACCAGACAGTTTGGAAAAAGTGCATTTATTTTCGTTTCTCCTTTCCTAACAAAGTAAAACACATCCGCTTTGGGGATCTGCAGCTTAGCTGTAGCGATAGCCCAGGATAACCTGAGCCTCTCCAATTATTTATGTCACTAAATACTGTCAGATTTAGATTATGGTATATTACTTTAGTCCAAACATCCTTTCATTTGTTCATCCACTGATGATGAGGATGATTGTTGACATGATGGACTGATGGTTTCCTATCAACATTTGTAACTCAGCTCTTTGAGCCTCATCCTTCCTGTCCCCCTGGCAGCGGACTCTGAGCTGCTTCCTGTCCCCCTGGCAGCGGACTCTGAGCTCCTTCCTGTCCCCCTGGCAGCGGACTCTGAGCTCCTTCCTGTCGCCCTGGCAGCGGACTTTGAGCTGCTTCCTGTCCCCCTGGCAGCGGACTCTGAGCTCCTTCCTGTCCCCCTGGCAGCGGACTCTGAGCTGCTTCCTGTCCCCCTGGCAGCGGACTCTGAGCTCCTTCCTGTCCCCCTGGCAGCGGACTCTGAGCTGCTTCCTGTCCCCCTGGCAGCGGACTCTGAGCTCCTTCCTGTCCCCCTGGCAGCGGACTCTGAGCTCCTTCCTGTCCCCCTGGCAGCGGACTCTGAGCTGCTCCCTGTCCCCCTGGCAGCGGACTCTGAGCTGCTTCCTGTCCCCCTGGCAGCGGACTCTGAGCTCCTTCCTGTCCCCCTGGCAGCGGACTCTGAGCTCCTTCCTGTCCCCCTGGCAGCGGACTCTGAGCTGCTTTCTGTCCCCCTGGCAGCGGACTCTGAGCTCCTTCCTGTCCCCCTGGCAGCGGACTCTGAGCTCCTTCCTGTCCCCCTGGCAGCGGACTCTGAGCTGCTTTCTGTCCCCCTGGCAGCGAACTCTGAGCTCCTTCCTGTCCCCCTGGCAGCGGACTCTGAGCTGCTTTCTGTCCCCCTGGCAGCGAACTCTGAGCTCCTTCCTGTCCCCCTGGCAGCGGACTCTGAGCTGCTTCCTGTCCCCCTGGCAGCGGACTCTGAGCTCCTTCCTGTCCCCCTGGCAGCGGACTCTGAGCTCCTTCCTGTCCCCCTGGCAGCGGACTCTGAGCTGCTCCCTGTCCCCCTGGCAGCGGACTCTGAGCTGCTTCCTGTCCCCCTGGCAGCGGACTCTGAGCTCCTTCCTGTCCCCCTGGCAGCGGACTCTGAGCTGCTTCCTGTCCCCCTGGCAGCGGACTCTGAGCTCCTTCCTGTCCCCCTGGCAGCGGACTCTGAGCTCCTTCCTGTCCCCCTGGCAGCGAACTCTGAGCTGCTTCCTGTCCCCCTGGCAGCGGACTCTGAGCTGCTTTCTGTCCCCCTGGCAGCGGACTCTGAGCTGCTCCCTGTCCCCCTGGCAGCGGACTCTGAGCTGCTTCCTGTCCCCCTGGCAGCGGACTCTGAGCTCCTTCCTGTCGCCCTGGCAGCGGACTCTGAGCTCCTTCCTGTCCCCCTGGCAGCGGACTCTGAGCTCCTTCCTGTCCCCCTGGCAGCGGACTCTGAGCTGCTTCCTGTCCCCCTGGACTCTGAGGACCACCCAGGCTACCTCAGAACCATCGTATCCCTAACCCACTTGGTCTCAGTTAAATGCTGCTGTGATGTCACCATGATGTCACACAATGAAACCAGACAGTTTGGAAAAAGTGCATTTATTTTCGTTTCTCCTTTCCTGACTCCTCCCCCAGGGGTGACAGACTCCGCCCCCTCCTCTGGATATGTAGGAACCCCTCCCCCTTCCCAGGTTAATAAACAAACAGGAAGTTGTAATTGACTAAAAAGCGTCCGTCAGATAAAGACCAACAGTCGACCGAAACGGAAACGCGTGTAACAAAATGCTCCGCCCACTAAGGACGGCGCGGCCTCTCGTTGGTAAGCCTGGATGATTGGCAGGACAGGGGGCGTGGCCTGCACAGCCGGTCCTCTTCGACAGGAAGGAGGGGCCGAGCTAATCCGAGTCCAACTCACTAGATTCCTCGGAGGAGGACTGATCGTCGTCATCCTCCTCCTCATCATCGTTCTGCACACAGAAACAGAAAGAACACGAAAAGGTCGCCATGGTAACCAAATCTTCATAGTTCCCTTGGTTCTACGTGGGCAGAGCTTATAGGGGTTAGCATTAGCATCACCTCATCTTCGTCCTCGCTGTCGGTGCTTCCTGATGTTTCATCATCTTCATCAGAGTCCGAGGAGTTGCTCTTCTCCTCCTCTTCGTCAGAGTCAGACATGTCCTTCTGAAGAGTCAGCAAACACTCAGAAGCTGCCTGATCTCCTGACAGACGTTACCCAGGGTTCACAGCGTCCTACCTTAGCGCGGTACGCCATGGCCCTCCTACCCACTCCGACCCCTGGATTCACCGCTCTTGAGCCTCCTGCCTTCCCCTTGGCTGTTACGTGGACCTTAGCCACGGGACTGCTGGTGGCCTTGGTGGTGCTGCGCCGTTTCTGCCAACAAGAGACAAGTTGAATAGCACCAGGCGACCTGAGGGGACAGGAAAGGCGAGCCCAGGAGGGCGGTCTAGACCCGGGCGGTCTGGACCCAGGCGGACTCACCGAGGAGGAGAACTCCTTGTAGATGGCTCGATCCTGAGGGGAAAGCGACTGAGGGACCAGGAGAAGCCAGTCAGACAGAAGGCCAGCCGTGACATCACTCCCTATTTACTCTCCCATTGGCTCACCTTAACCCAGGCCTCCAGTTCCACCTTGTACTCCACCTGCTGCTCCTCAACCAGCTTCTTGTACTTGTCCTTCTGACTCTGGCTCAGCTTCTGCCACCTTTTCCCGATCTCCACCATGCGCTCCTTCAGGCTGAAGTGGTTCAGCTCTCCGTTTGTCAGCAGCTCCTGGGAGAACATCTGATACCCGCTCCTGTGGGTCAGAGTTTGGTGGTCTGTAGAACCTGCCTGGAACCGACCCACTAAGCCAAGTATTAGAACGAAAAGGTCAAACTCACACTGGGGGCTTCTTGGGTTCCCCATCAAACTTGGGTTTCCTCTGACCTGCAGCCGGTGTTCGCATCTCCAACAGCTCCCTCTGCAGGACACCAAGAGTCAGTGCAACTCACCACCACTAGAGTGGAGCACAGAGGTGGAGAGAGTGGAGGAGCAGCCCCCCCCCCCCCGCTGAGACTGGACCTTATCCTAAGGTAGTACGGCAATACGCTGACGACAAACTGCTTTAGCACTGCGATACGCTGACGACAAACTGCTTTAGCACTGCGATACGCTGACGACAAACTGCTTTAGCACTGCAATACGCTGACGACAAACTGCTTTAGCACTGCGATACGCTGACGACAAACTGCTTTAGCACTGCAATACGCTGACGACAAACTGCTTTAGCACTGCAATACGCTGACGACAAACTGCTTTAGCACTGCAATACGCTGACAACAAACTGCTTTAGCACGGCGATACGCTGACGACAAACTGCTTTAGCACTGCGATACGCTGACGACAAACTGCTTTAGCACTGCGATACGCTGACGACAAACTGCTTTAGCACTGCGATACGCTGACGACAAACTGCTTTAGCACTGCGATACGCTGACGACAAACTGCTTTAGCACGGCGATACGCTGACGACAAACTGCTTTAGCACTGCAATACGCTGACGACAAACTGCTTTAGCACTGCAATACGCTGACGACAAACTGCTTTAGCACGGCAATACGCTGACGACAAACTGCTTTAGAACGGCAATACGCTGACGACAAACTGCTTTAGAACGGCAATACGCTGACGACAAACTGCTTTAGCACTGCAATACGCTGACGACAAACTGCTTTAGAACGGCAATACGCTGACGACAAACTGCTTTAGTACGGCAATACGCTGACGATTAACTGCTTTAGAACGGCAATACGCTGACGATAAACTGCTTTAGAACGGCAATACGCTGAAGATAAACTGCTTTAGAATGGCAATACGCTGAAGATAAACTGCTTTAGCACTGCAATACGCTGACGACAAACTGCTTTAGAACGGCAATATGCTGACGATAAACTGCTTTAGTACGGCAATACGCTGACGATAAACTGCTTTAGCAATGCAATACGCTGACGATAAACTGCTTTAGCACTGCAATACGCTGGCGATAAACTGCTTTAGTACGGCAATACGCTGACGATAAACTGCTTTATCCCAGAGATCAGAGAGAGAAATCCTTCGCTAACTGAATTCATTCACATCTGGATGTGATCAAAGCTCCTTAAGTAAAGACAGAACAGAACTTTGGGCTGTTGGACCAGAGATTCTGAACCTCTAAGAAGGCCAGAAACCTGAAGATTTTATAAAAGCTGCATAGCGTGACCTACAGAACATGCTTTGTTCTGAGCAGCCAGGATTAAGATCAAAGAGTGGGTCAGTGGGGGGGTGGGTAGGGTTTAGTGCGTCTAGTGTACAACGGCAGGTGGAAAATGATCAGCAGTGGGTGTGAGGGGGTCTGGGTAGTGGGTGGGGTGGGTGTGGCTCACTGACCACAGACTGGTACTGAACCTCGTAACGCTTCTGGTCCTCTGCCGCCTTCTTAATCCAGGGAATTTTCTCCTTCTTCTCCATAGACCTCCAGGCCGCGTCCATAGCTGCTTGCGCCTTCCTGCGGTCGCTCTGTAAGGCCGTGCACATGACCCCAAACCTTTTAATGCAGGAAGCCACAAAGCCCCCACCCCCTTGTCAAGTGACATAAGGCCACAGGGACTCACTCTATACTTGGCCATGTAGTCTCCTATCACACTATGCTGCCACATCTCCTCAGCGGTTTTTGGCGTCTCTGGAAGCTTCACTGTCTTCTTTCCGTCTCGTCTGTCTTTGGGTGATCCGGCAGGTATCCAGGTCTCCAGCTCGGGCTCTCGACTGCGCTCCTAAAACAACGCAAACATCTGGAAGTCTGAGTAGGTTCTACGGTAAAGACACCAGCTCAGGAGAGTAATGGTAGAACACATTGTACCTTCAGTGATGGAGACTTTGCTCTGTGTTGAGACACATTCAACTTGGACCCGCCCATTTTCTCCTCTGATAGGACTCGCTCGCGCTCCTCCTCAGGAAGGCTCTGATACACAAGTTAGAACTCTGAACACCAAACTGAAGTCTACCAGCTGCTCACTACAGGCTGGGAGTAATGGGAGGACTGGGAGTAACAGACAGTAACTGGGGGGACTGAAACTGGTAGACAGCAACTGATGGACGGTAATGGGGGACGGTGATGGGGGGACATTAACTAGGGGGAATGTAATGTGGGGACAGTAACTGGGGGGGACAGTAACTAATGGACAGTATCTGGGGGGACAGTAACGAGAGGGACAGTAACTGATGGAAAGTAACTGGGGGGACATTAACTGATGGACAGTAACTGGGGGGACAGTTTCTGATGGACAGTAATGGGGGGGGGGCAGTAACTAATGGACAGTAACAAGGGGGACAGTAACTGATGGACAGTAACTGGGGGGACAGTTTCTGATGGACAGTAATGGGGGGGGCAGTAACTAATGGACAGTAACAAGGGAGACAGTAACTGATGGACAGTAACAAGGGGGACAGTAACGGAGGGGACAGTAACTGATGGACAGTAACTAATGGACAGTAACGGGGGGACAGTAACAAGGGGGACAGTAATGGGGGGCAGTAACTAATGGACAATAATGGGGGGCAGTAACTGATGGACAGTAACTGGGTGGACAGTTTCTGATGGACAGTAAGGGAGGGGACAGTAACTGATGGACAGTAACTAATGGACAGTAACGGAGGGGACAGTAACTAATGGACAGTAACTGGGGGGACAGTAACTGGGAGGACAGTAACTGATGGGACAGTAACTGATGGACAGTAACTGGGGGGACAGTAACTGATGGACAGTAACTGGGGGGACAGTTTCTGATGGACAGTAACAAGGGGGACAATAACTGATGGACAGTAACTGATGGACAGTAACTTGGGGGATAGTAACTGGGGGGACAGTAACTGGGAGGACAGTAACTGATGGGACAGTAACTGATTGACAGTAACTGGGGGGACAGTTTCTGATGGACAGTAACTGGGGGGACAGTTTCTGATGGACAGTAACAAGGGGGACAGTAACGGAGGGGACAGTAACAAGGGGGACAGTAATGGGGGGGCAGTAACTAATGGACAATAATGGGGGGCAGTAACTGATGGTAAGTAACTGGGGGGACAGTTTCTGATGGACAGTAACGGGGGGACAGTAACGGAGGGGACAGTAACGGAGGGGACAGTAACGGAGGGGACAGTAACTGATGGACAGTAACTAATGGACAGTAACTGGGGGGACAGTAACTGGGAGGACAGTAACTGGGGGGACAGTTTCTGATGGACAGTAACAAGGGGACAGTAACTGATGGACAGTAACTGGGGGGACAGTTTCTGATGGACAGTAACAAGGGGACAGTAACTGATGGACAGTAACTGGGGGGACAGTAACTGGGGGGGCAGTAACTGGGAGGACAGTAACTGGTGGGACAGTAACTGATGGACAGTAACTGGGGGGACAGTTTCTGATGGACAGTAACAAGGGGACAGTAACTGATGGACAGTAACTGGGGGGACAGTTTCTGATGGACAGTAACAAGGGGACAGTAACTGATGGACAGTAACTGGGGGGACAGTAACTGGGGGGGCAGTAACTGGGAGGACAGTAACTGGTGGGACAGTAACTGATGGACAGTAACTGGGGGGGACAGTTTCTGATGGACAGTAACAAGGTGGACAGTAACAAGGGGGACAATAACTGATGGACAGTAACTGATGGACAGTAACTGGGGGGATAGTAACTGGGGGGACAGTAACTGGGAGGACAGTAACTGATGGGACAGTAACTGATTGACAGTAACTGGGGGGACAGTTTCTGATGGACAGTAACTGGGGGGACAGTTTCTGATGGACAGTAACAAGGGGGACAGTAACGGAGGGGACAGTAACAAGGGGGACAGTAATGGGGGGGCAGTAACTAATGGACAATAATGGGGGGCAGTAACTGATGGTAAGTAACTGGGGGGACAGTTTCTGATGGACAGTAACGGGGGGACAGTAACGGAGGGGACAGTAACGGAGGGGACAGTAACGGAGGGGACAGTAACTGATGGACAGTAACTAATGGACAGTAACTGGGGGGGCAGTAACTGGGAGGACAGTAACTGGGGGGACAGTTTCTGATGGACAGTAACAAGGGGACAGTAACTGATGGACAGTAACTGGGGGGACAGTTTCTGATGGACAGTAACGCGGGGACAGTAACGGAGGGGACAGTAACGGAGGGGACAGTAACTGATGGACAGTAACTAATGGACAGTAACTGGGGGGACAGTAACTGGGAGGACAGTAACTGGGGGGACAGTTTCTGATGGACAGTAACAAGGGGACAGTAACTGATGGACAGTAACTGGGGGGACAGTTTCTGATGGACAGTAACAAGGGGACAGTAACTGATGGACAGTAACTGGGGGGACAGTAACTGGGGGGGCAGTAACTGGGAGGACAGTAACTGGTGGGACAGTAACTGATGGACAGTAACTGGGGGGACAGTTTCTGATGGACAGTAACAAGGGGACAGTAACTGATGGACAGTAACTGGGGGGACAGTTTCTGATGGACAGTAACAAGGGGACAGTAACTGATGGACAGTAACTGGGGGGACAGTAACTGGGGGGGCAGTAACTGGGAGGACAGTAACTGGTGGGACAGTAACTGATGGACAGTAACTGGGGGGACAGTTTCTGATGGACAGTAACAAGGTGGACAGTAACAAGGGGGACAATAACTGATGGACAGTAACTGATGGACAGTAACTGGGGGGATAGTAACTGGGGGGACAGTAACTGGGAGGACAGTAACTGATGGGACAGTAACTGATTGACAGTAACTGGGGGGACAGTTTCTGATGGACAGTAACTGGGGGGACAGTTTCTGATGGACAGTAACGGGGGGACAGTAACGGAGGGGACAGTAACGGAGGGGACAGTAACTGATGGACAGTAACTAATGGACAGTAACTGGGGGGGCAGTAACTGGGAGGACAGTAACTGGGGGGACAGTTTCTGATGGACAGTAACAAGGGGACAGTAACTGATGGACAGTAACTGGGGGGACAGTTTCTGATGGACAGTAACAAGGGGACAGTAACTGATGGACAGTAACTGGGGGGACAGTAACTGGGGGGGCAGTAACTGGGAGGACAGTAACTGGTGGGACAGTAACTGATGGACAGTAACTGGGGGGACAGTTTCTGATGGACAGTAACAAGGGGACAGTAACTGGGGGGACAGTTTCTGATGGACAGTAACAAGGGGACAGTAACTGATGGACAGTAACTGGGGGGACAGTTTCTGATGGACAGTAACAAGGGGACAGTAACTGATGGACAGTAACTGGGGGGGCAGTAACTGGGAGGACAGTAACTGGTGGGACAGTAACTGATGGACAGTAACTGGGGGGACAGTTTCTGATGGACAGTAACTGGGGGGACAGTTTCTGATGGACAGTAACAAGGGGGACAATAACTGATGGACAGTAACTGATGGACAGTAACTGGGGGGACAGTTTCTGATGGACAGTAACAAGGGGACAGTAACTGATGGACAGTAACTGGGGGGACAGTAACTGGGGGGGCAGTAACTGGGAGGACAGTAACTGGTGGGACAGTAACTGATGGACAGTAACTGGGGGGACAGTTTCTGATGGACAGTAACAAGGGGACAGTAACTGATGGACAGTAACTGGGGGGACAGTTTCTGATGGACAGTAACTGATGGACAGTAACTGGGGGGACAGTAACTGGGGGGGCAGTAACTGGGAGGACAGTAACTGGTGGGACAGTAACTGATGGACAGTAACTGGGGGGACAGTTTCTGATGGACAGTAACAAGGGGACAGTAACTGATGGACAGTAACTGGGGGGACAGTTTCTGATGGACAGTAACAAGGGGACAGTAACTGATGGACAGTAACTGGGGGGACAGTAACTGGGGGGGCAGTAACTGGGAGGACAGTAACTGGTGGGACAGTAACTGATGGACAGTAACTGGGGGGACAGTTTCTGATGGACAGTAACAAGGTGGACAGTAACAAGGGGGACAGTAATGGAGGGGACAGTAACTGATGGGACAGTAACTGATTGGACAGTAACTGGGGGGACAGTAACTGATGGACAGTAACTGGGGGGACAGTAACTGATGGACAGTAACTGGGGGGACAGTTTCTGATGGACAGTAACTGGGGGGACAGTAACTGGGGGGACAGTAACTGATGGACAGTAACTGGTGGACAGTAACTGATGCACAGTTACTGATGGACAGTAACTGGGGGGACAGTAACTGGGGGGACAGTAACTGATGGACAGTAACTGGTGGGACAGTAACTGATGGACAGTAACTGGGGGGACAGTAACTGATGGACAGTAACTGGTGGACAGTAACTGATGCACAGTTACTGATGGACAGTAACTGGGGGGACAGTAACTGGGGGGACAGTAACTGGGGGGACAGTAACTGATGGACAGTAACTGGGGGGACAGTTTCTGATGGACAGTAACTAAGGGGGACAGTAACTGGGGGGACAGTAACTGATGGACAGTAACTGGTGGACAGTAACTGATGGACAGTAACTGGGGGGACAGTAACTGATGGACAGTAACTGGTGGACAGTAACTGATGCACAGTAACTGGGGGGACAGTAACTGGGGGGACAGTAACTGGGGGGACAGTAACTGGGGGGACAGTAACTGATGGACAGTAACTGGGGGGACAGTAACTGGGGGGACAGTAACTGATGGACAGTAACTGGTGGACAGTAACTGATGCACAGTTACTGATGGACAGTAACTGGGGGGACAGTAACTGATGGACAGTAACTGGGGGGACAGTAACTGATGGACAGTAACTGGGGGGACAGTAACTGATGGACAGTAACTGGTGGACAGTAACTGATGCACAGTTACTGATGGACAGTAACTGGGGGGACAGTAACTGGGGGGACAGTAACTGATGGACAGTAACTGGGGGGACAGTTTCTGATGGACAGTAACTGGGGGGACAGTAACTGGGGGGACAGTAACTGATGGACAGTAACTGGTGGACAGTAACTGATGCACAGTTACTGATGGACAGTAACTGGGGGGACAGTAACTGGGGGGACAGTAACTGGGGGGACAGTAACTGATGGACAGTAACTGGTGGACAGTAACTGATGCACAGTAACTGGGGGGACAGTAACTGGGGGGACAGTAACTGGGGGGACAGTAACTGGGGGGACAGTAACTGATGGACAGTAACTGGGGGGACAGTAACTGGGGGGACAGTAACTGATGGACAGTAACTGGTGGACAGTAACTGATGCACAGTTACTGATGGACAGTAACTGGGGGGACAGTAACTGATGGACAGTAACTGGGGGGACAGTAACTGATGGACAGTAACTGGGGGGACAGTAACTGATGGACAGTAACTGGTGGACAGTAACTGATGCACAGTTACTGATGGACAGTAACTGGGGGGACAGTAACTGGGGGGACAGTAACTGATGGACAGTAACTGGGGGGACAGTTTCTGATGGACAGTAACTGGGGGGACAGTAACTGGGGGGACAGTAACTGATGGACAGTAACTGGTGGACAGTAACTGATGCACAGTTACTGATGGACAGTAACTGGGGGGACAGTAACTGGGGGGACAGTAACTGGGGGGACAGTAACTGATGGACAGTAACTGGGGGGACAGTATCTGATGGACAGTTGATGGAGTTCCTTCTAATGGCTCAGAGCTTCTGGGTTGTGGAAGGAACTGGGAGTAAACTGGGAACTGGGAGTAAACTGGGAACTGGGAGTAACGTTCCTTCCAGAAGAACCGGTCAGTGAAGAACCGGTTCTGGTCAGAAATGGTTCCAGTATTTCTAAGGTTGCTGCCTTGAAACGGTTCTGGTTCCGGTCCGGATCCAGTCCGGCTCAGCTGGAGCAAACGACCCGGTAGAACCGTTTCTATCCGGTCCCAGTGTTGACCATATCAGACCCAACTGGACCTTATGTTAGGGGCCCGGTACCGGACCCGTTCCCAGTGCTGAATCAGAACATCTGGGACCAATCAAGCAGAACTTTCAGAACCGGTTCAACCTCAAGCCAGCGTAGAGCCACGGTACCGGAACCAGCCATCCTACAGTGCAGTTAGAGGGACCTTGGTTCTGGTCCTGCTCTAGGTTTAGTTTGCATAAGCTGGTTCTGGTCTGGGGGCCTGGTTAGACCCTGGGTTAGGAGCTGCTTGGGGGCGGGGCTTACCTCCAGGAAGCGCTGCAGGTCGATGTCGTACTGCTTCTTTTTCTGCAGGCAGAAAGCTGAGTTAGACCGGGCCGAACCGGATCGGGCCGGACGGGGCGGGTTGGGGTGGGCATACCCACCTGCTCGCAGCGCTTCTGGAACATGTCCTTCTCCTTCTGGGTCAGCATCTTCCACTGCTTGCTGCAGAGCACCATGCGCTCCGTGCTGGGGACGTCCTTCATGTTCACCATCAGCTCAGCGCAGTACAGCGAGTAGCCGTTCCTGGAAGAAGACGGCCCGTTAGAACCCGGGACCTGTAGCAGCGGGTCAGAACCCGTTAGAACCCGGGACCTGTAGCAGCGGGTCAGAACCCGGGACCTGTAGCAGCGGGTCAGAACCCGTTAGAACCCGGGACCTGTAGCAGCGGGTCAGAACCCGGGACCTGTAGCAGCGGGTCAGAACCCGTTAGAACCCGGGACCTGTAGCAGCGGGTCAGAACCCGTTAGAACCCGGGACCTGTAGCAGCGGGTCAGAACCCGGGACCTGTAGCAGCCCGTTAAAACCCGGGACCTGTAGCAGCCCGTTAGAACCCGGGACCTGTAGCAGCCCGTTAGAACCCGGGACCTGTAGCAGCGGGTCAGAACCCGGGATCTGTAGCAGCCCGTTAAAACCCGGGACCTGTAGCAGCCCGTTAGAACCCGGGACCTGTAGCAGCGGGTCAGAACCCGGGATCTGTAGCAGCCCGTTAGAACCCGGGACCTGTAGCAGCCCGTTAGAACCCGGGACCTGTAGCAGCCCGTTAGAACCCGGGACCTGTAGCAGCGGGTCAGAACCCGGGATCTGTAGCAGCCCGTTAAAACCCGGGACCTGTAGCAGCCCGTTAGAACCCGGGACCTGTAGCAGCCCGTTAGAACCCGGGACCTGTAGCAGCCCGTTAGAACCCGGGACCTGTAGCAGCCCGTTAGAACCCGGGACCTGTAGCAGCCCGTTAGAACCCGGGACCTGTAGCAGCGGGTCAGAACCCGGGATCTGTAGCAGCCCGTTAAAACCCGGGACCTGTAGCAGCCCGTTAGAACCCGGGACCTGTAGCAGCCCGTTAGAACCCGGGACCTGTAGCAGCGGGTCAGAACCCGGGATCTGTAGCAGCCCGTTAGAACCCGGGACCTGTAGCAGCCCGTTAGAACCCGGGACCTGTAGCAGCCCGTTAGAACCCGGGACCTGTAGCAGCGGGTCAGAACCCGGGATCTGTAGCAGCCCGTTAGAACCCGGGACCTGTAGCAGCGGGTCAGAACCCGGGACCTGTAGCAGCCCGTTAGAACCCGGGACCTGTAGCAGCGGGTCAGAACCCGGGACCTGTAGCAGCCCGTTAGAACCCGGGACCTGTAGCAGCGGGTCAGAACCCGTTAGAACCCGGGACCTGTAGCAGCGGGTCAGAACCCGTTAGAACCCGGGACCTGTAGCAGCCCGTTAGAACCCGGGACCTGTAGCAGCGGGTCAGAACCCGTTAGAACCCGGGACCTGTAGCAGCGGGTCAGAACCCGTTAGAACCTGGGACCTGTAGCAGCGGGTCAGAACCCGTTAGAACCCGGGACCTGTAGCAGCCCGTTAGAACCCGGGACCTGTAGCAGCCCATTAGAACCCGGGACCTGTAGCAGCGGGTCAGAACCCGGGATCTGTAGCAGCGGGTCAGAACCCGGGCCCTGTAGCAGCCCGTTAGAACCCGGGACCTGTAGCAGCCCGTTAGAACCCGGGACCTGTAGCAGCGGGTCAGAACCCGGGATCTGTAGCAGCCCGTTAGAACCCGGGACCTGTAGCAGCGGGTCAGAACCCGTTAGAACCCGGGACCTGTAGCAGCCCGTTAGAACCCGGGACCTGTAGCAGCGGGTCAGAACCCGGGACCTGTAGCAGCCCGTTAGAACCCGGGACCTGTAGCAGCGGGTCAGAACCCGGGACCTGTAGCAGCCCGTTAGAACCCGGGACCTGTAGCAGCGGGTCAGAACCCGTTAGAACCCGGGACCTGTAGCAGCCCGTTAGAACCCGGGACCTGTAGCAGCGGGTCAGAACCCGTTAGAACCCGGGACCTGTAGCAGCGGGTCAGAACCCGTTAGAACCCGGGACCTGTAGCAGCGGGTCAGAACCCGTTAGAACCCGGGACCTGTAGCAGCGGGTCAGAACCCGTTAGAACCTGGGACCTGTAGCAGCGGGTCAGAACCCGTTAGAACCCGGGACCTGTAGCAGCCCGTTAGAACCCGGGACCTGTAGCAGCCCATTAGAACCCGGGACCTGTAGCAGCCCGTCAGAACCCAGGATCTGTAGCAGCCCAATAGAACCCGGGACCTGTAGCAGCGGGTCAGAACCCGGGATCTGTAGCAGCGGGTCAGAACCCAGGATCTGTAGCAGCGGGTCAGAACCCGGGCCCTGTAGCAGCGGGTCAGAACCCGGGCCCTGTAGCAGCGGGTCAGAACCCGGGCCCTGTAGCAGCGGGTCAGAACCCGGGACCTGTAGCAGCGGGTCAGAACCCGGGCCCTGTAGCAGCGGGTCAGAACCCGGGCCCTGACAGCCGGTGGTTCTGATCCAGACTCACGGCGGAGGCTTGGTGGGCCGTCCATCGAACTTGTCCTTCAGCTGTCTCTCAGCCTTGGTGAGGACGGAGCGGACGTGGTCCTCTGAGTTGGCGTCTGGGTGGGCTTCATGGTACACCCTCATACTGTCCTGCACACAGAACCCAGAGGTCAGAACCGGGCCCCCACGCCGCCACAGGGGCCCCTGGGGGTTAGTTTACCTCGTAGTCCTTCTGCAGCTCCAGGGCCTTACTGATCCACTTCAGGCGGCGCTTGTCGGACAGCTGGGACCACTGCCTCCTCAGAACCTCCTTCAGCTCCTTCTGGCTCACCTGCAGACACACAGACACGGTTCTGATCCGCTCGGACGGGTCAGAACCAAGCCGGCGGGCGGCGTGGTTCTACCTCTGGGTGCAGCTTCATGTAGGCCTTCTTCTCATGGTTGTACCACAGCTGCTGCGGGGTTTTGGGTTTTTCTGGAAGGTCCGACTTCTTCCTCTCCTCCATAAGATCCGGATGCTCCTCCCTGCAGGCGAGCCGACATTACCGGGCCTGGTACCAGCGGCGGAGCAACTGGTACCAGCGGCGGAGCAACTGGTACCAGCGGTGGAGCACCTGGTACCAGCGGCAGAGCTCCCGGTACCAGCGGCGGAGCAACTGGTACCAGCGGTGGAGCAACTGGTACCAGCGGTGGAGCACCTGGTACCAGCGGCGGAGCAACTGGTACCAGCGGCGGAGCAACTGGTACCAGCGGCGGAGCACCTGGTACCAGCGGCGGAGCAACTGGTACCAGCGGCGGAGCAACTGGTACCAGCGGTGGAGCACCTGGTACCAGCAGCAGAGCGCCAGGACGGGCCCGGTAGCAGCAGCTGGAACTCACCTGAAGCGCGCCATGTTCTTCTCAAACTCCTCCTTCTCTTGCTGGAACTCTGTGATGTACTTTTGCTGCAAGAAAATAATAGACAGGAAGCTGATCAGAAGCAGGAAGCTGATTGTGACAGGAAACGGGTCAGAGACAGGAAGCTGATCAAAAACAGGAAATGGGTCACAGACAGGAAGCTGATCAAAAACAGGAAATGGGTCACAGACAGGAAGCTGATCAAAAACAGGAAATGGGTCACAGACAGGAAGCTGATCAAAAACAGGAAATGGGTCACAGACAGGAAGCTGATCAGAGACAGGAAGCTGATCACAGACAGGAAGCTGATCAGAGACAGGAAGCTGATCAGAGACAGGAAATGGGTCACAGACAGGAAGCTGACCAGAGACAGGAAACTGATCAGAGACAGGAAGCTGATCAGAGACAGGAAATGGGTCACAGACAGGAAGCTGATCAGAGACAGGAAACTGGTTAGAAAACGGGAAACGGGTCAGAGACAGGAAGCTGAACAGAAACAGGAAACGGGTCAGACAGGAAGCTGATCAGAAACAGGAAGCTGATCAGAGACAGGAAACTGGTCAGAAAACGGAAAACGGGTCAGAGACAGGAAGCTGAACAGAAACAGGAAACGGGTCAGACAGGAAGCTGATCACAAACAGGAAATGGGTCACAGACAGGAAGCTGATCACAAACAGGAAATGGGTCACAGACAGGAAGCTGATCACAAACAGGAAATAGGTCACAGACAGGAAGCTGATCAGAAACAGGAAGCTGATCAGAAAGAGGAAACGGGTCAGAGACAGGAAACGGGTCAGAGACAGGAAACGGGTCAGAGACAGGAAACGGGTCAGAGACAGGAAGCGGGTCAGAGACAGGAAGCTGATCAGAAAGAGAAAACGGGTCAGACAGGAAGCTGAACAGAAACAGGAAGCTGATCAGAAAGAGGAAACGGGTCAGAGACAGGAAGCTGATCAGAAACAGGAAGCCCGTCAGAAACAGGAAACGGTCAGAGACAGGAATCTGATCAGAAAGAGGAAACGGGTCAGAGACGGGAAACGGGTCAGAGACAGGAAGCTGATCAGAAACAGGAAGCTGATCAGAGACAGGAAACGGGTCAGAGACAGGAAGCTGATCAGAAACAGGAAATGGGTCACAGACAGGAAGCTGATCAGAAACAGGAAGCTGATCAGAAACAGGAAGCTGATCAGAGACAGGAAACGGGTCAGAGACAGGAAGCTGATCAGAAACAGGAAATGGGTCACAGACAGGAAGCTGATCAGAAACAGGAAGCTGATCAGAAACAGGAAGCTGATCAGAAACAGGAAGCTGATCAGAAAGAGGGAACGGGTCAGAGAGGAACCAGGTGAGTTCTGGTTCCGGTCCAAACCTTTTTCTTTTCGGGCAGCTCCTTGTACTTCTTGGAGAGGATCTTGGTCAGGTCCAGGTTGCTCATCTCGGGGTGGATCTTGGCGTATTTGGCCCGTTTCTCCATGAAGAAGCGGAAGTAGGGCGTCAGCGGCTTCTTGGGGAAGTCTGGGTGGGTCTGGACAGCAGAGGGACATCAGGCTCCGCCCCGTTCCGCCCGCTCCGGGTTCAGTCTGCATGCCGAGGAGCCCACTCACCTTCAGCTTCTTGCCTTTGTACGGGTTCTTCACCAGCTCCATGGCGTCCACGAGGAGCTCCGTCATCGTTCGATACTTTCGCACCTGAAACACAGAGAAGGCGTGAGGAGCAAAGACCCAGAGGCTGAGCGGAGGGCGGAGCGGGTTCTGGAGGTACCTCAGAGGACACCTTCAGCCACTTCTGGCGGCACATGTCCCCGGTGAAGCTGCCGAAGCGGACCTTGTCCCAGTCGAAGTGCGACTCTGTGGTTTTATACTTCATGGCGTCTCCGTCCGGCAACAGGCTGCGGATCCGCTCCAGCAGGGTCAGGCAGTCATCCTTAGTCCACTCATCTAAACAAGGAGAAGAGCGTCACGGCGCCGCCACGCCCGGCTCAGCCCGCCCCCCCCCGCCTGGCTCCGTTACCTGCTTCGGCTTTGATCCGCACACTTTGGGCCGCAGAGACGCTGCTGCTGCCGTTCATCCTGCAGCCAAAGGCGGCGCCTCACTGCTCTGCACAACAACACAGGAAGCTGTGAGAGCCTGAACATCAGGAGGTTCTGATGAAAACAACTTTAAATAGAAATAATCTAATAGAATTCAGTGTTAAAATGAGCAGCTATGGAAGCCGTTCACATCAGATTCTAGTTCATCATTAGTAGAATCAGTCAGAAAGCTGGACGATAAATATGATGGGATTGATAATAAATGTTTGGATAGCAGCAGAATGGAGATACAGGAAAGGATTGAATTATTCATTTCAGTAAATCTGAAGTTAACATGTTAAATGAAGTATAAATGGCAAAAGCAAAGAAGGGCGTTGGATTTAATAAAATTCAACAGAAAAATGGAGAAATGGGAACTAGAAGAGGTTTGGTCAGACTGGTTTATACTGGGGGAACAGGAACGCTCAATGGGAACACTGGGGGAGATGATACTATTGACCATGTCATGTAAGAAATATGAGGACGGCAATTCATTCAAAATTTAAGTAAAAGTTAAATAGAATTATTTAGAAGTTTTTCAGAAGGTAACATTTACAGGATAATATTTTAATGTCTGAAAATAAAACATTTCTATAACAGATTGAATTCCTGAGTGTCATTCTGCTCCACACCAGCAGATGGCGGAAATGCATCTATTGTTGTTTGCCAACCGCCACAATATTTAAAAAAGAAGAACTTTGGATGAACTCAGTGGGCCCCAGAACCTCAGAACCCTGCGGTTCCTCTGACAGCCCCTCCCCAGCGCAGCCAGCAGGGGGCAGCACAGAGCGCAGCTGTTCCTGCCTGACCGCAGCGGCAGCAGCTGGAAGCTCCGCTACGCTCCGGACCGGACCGGACCGCTGGGACCGGAACCAGGAGGAGCCATCTGGGCTTTCTGTAGACCTGGGCACCGCTGGGCACGGCACTGCACCACAGTCTGGGGGCCATCAGGGGCCGCTCTCAGGAGCCTGCCCGGGGCCCCGCGGATTGAGCGGGCCGCCTGGTCCTGACTGCCCCGGTAATGGCGTTTATCCTCCGACAGGAGTCAGCACGGAGCCCCGCTGGCAGCTCAGAGGGACCAGAGCGGACCGATAAATGAGGAGCCTGCAGGGCCCGCAGAGAGGAGCCTGCAGGGCCCGCAGAGAGGAGCCTGCAAGGGGCCGCAGAGAGGAGCCTGCAAGGGGCCGCAGAGAGGAGCCTGCAAGGGGCCGCAGAGAGGAGCCTGCAAGGGGCCGCAGAGAGGAGCCTGCAAGGGGCCGCAGAGAGGAGCCTGCAGGGCCCGCAGAGAGGAGCCTGCAAGGGGCGGCAGAGAGGAGCCTGCAAGGGGCCGCAGAGAGGAGCCTGCAAGGGGCCGCAGAGAGGAGCCTGCAAGGGGCCGCAGAGAGGAGCCTGCAAGGGGCCGCAGAGAGGAGCCTGCAAGGGGCCGCAGAGAGGAGCCTGCAGGGCCGCAGAGAGGAGCCTGCAAGGGGCCGCAGAGAGGAGCCTGCAAGGGGCCGCAGAGAGGAGCCTGCAAGGGGCCGCAGAGAGGAGCCTGCAAGGGGCCGCAGAGAGGAGCCTGCAAGGGGCCGCAGAGAGGAGCCTGCAAGGGGCCGCAGAGAGGAGCCTGCAAGGGGCGGCAGAGAGGAGCCTGCAGGGCCGCAGAGTCTCGGCTCTCTTCCCGCTGGTTCCCTCATGAATCCCCTCTAAAATAAACTGAAATGGGTCTAAAGCGGCCCACAGACGGACCTTCTGCGGTTCTGCTCTTAGGATAGAGCCGCTGCTCGGAACCAGGAGCCGCTTTGGGGTCGCAGCGGGACCGATCGTCCTCGGTCCCCCAGAAAGCCTCACTGCCAAGCCGCCATGAATGCTCGGAGGACTCGGGGAAAAGCGAGAAGAAAAAGGCAGGAATCCGTTAAAAACACGAACCGGTCGCTTACCTGCTGGTTCTGCTGGAGTCCCGGTTGGGTCCCGCTCAGAACTGACCCGGTTCGGCCGGTTCCGAGCCTTTCTAGGAGCCTGTTTTTCACCCGTGAAACCCGGGGAGTCAACTCCAAACGAATCCGACAAAAGGAGCGTCTGCCTCGGTAGGAAACTCCGCCCCGCGCCGCAGGGGGAGGACCTCCGGGAGAAAACATGAGACAAAGGCGGAGGATGAAACCAGAGCCGCGGAGCGAGGAGCGGAGAGAGCCCCGCTGCGGGGACCGGCCAGCCCGGAACCCTGCCTGGTTCTGGTCCCGGTCCGTAGAGGCTTCCTCTGCGGCTGGAACCGGACTGAACTCCCGCTGAGCCGCTGCTGCTGGAAGCCGTTAGAACCTGTCCACCAGGGGACAGCGGGTCCATTTGGACATCTAGAACCTGTCCACCACGGGACAGTGGGGAACCTGTCCACCACGGGACAGCGGGTCCATTTGGACATCTAGAACCTGTCCACCACGGGACAGTGGGGAACCTGTCCACCACGGGACAGCGGGTCCATTTGGACATCTAGAACCTGTCCACCAGGGGACAGCGGGGAACCTGTCCACCACGGGACAGCGGGGAACCTGTCCACCAGGGGACAGCGGGTCCATTTGGACCTCTAGAACCTGTCCACCAGGGGACAGTGGGGAACCTGTCCACCACGGGACAGTGGGGAACCTGTCCACCAGGGGACAGCGGGGAACCTGTCCACCAGGGGACAGCGGGGAACCTGTCCACCACGGGACAGTGGGGAACCTGTCCACCAGAGGACAGCGGGTCCATTTGGACCTCTAGAACATGTCCACCAGGGGACAGTGGGGAACCTGTCCACCACGGGACAGCGGGGAACCTGTCCACCACGGGACAGTGGGGAACCTGTCCACCAGGGGACAGCGGGGAACCTGTCCACCACGGGACAGTGGGGAACCTGTCCACCAGGGGACAGCGGGTCCATTTGGACCTCTAGAACCTGTCCACCAGGGGACAGTGGGGAACCTGTCCACCACGGGACAGCGGGTCCATTTGTACCTCTAGAACCTGTCCACCAGGGGACAGCGGGGAACCTGTCCACCAGGGGACAACGGGTCCATTTGGACATCTAGAACCTGTCCACCACGGGACAGCGGGTGCATTTGGACCTCTAGAACCTGTCCACCAGGGGACAGCGGGTCCATTTGGACCTCTAGAACCTGTCCACCAGGGGACAGCGGGTCCATTTGGACCTCTAGAACCTGTCCACCAGGGGACAGCGGGGAACATGTCCACCAGGGGACAGCGGGTCCATTTGGACCTCTAGAACCTGTCCACCAGGGGACAGCGGGAAACCTGTCCACCAGGGGACAGCGGGTCCATTTGGACCTCTAGAACCTGTCCACCAGGGGACAGCGGGGAACCTGTCCACCAGGGGACAGCGGGTCCATTTGGACCTCTAGAACCTGTCCACCAGGGGACAGCGGGGAACCTGTCCACCACGGGACAGCGGGGAACCTGTCCACCACGGGACAGCGGGGAACCTGTCCACCAGGGGACAGCGGGGAACCTGTCCACCAGGGGACAGTGGGGAACCTGTCCACCAGGGTCCATTTGGACCTCTAGAACCTGTCCACCAGGGGACAGTGGGGAACCTGTCCACCACGGGACAGCGGGTCCATTTGTACCTCTAGAACCTGTCCACCAGGGGACAGCGGGGAACCTGTCCACCAGGGGACAACGGGTCCATTTGGACATCTAGAACCTGTCCACCAGGGGACAGCGGGTCCATTTGGACATCTAGAACCTGTCCACCACGGGACAGCGGGTCCATTTGGACCTCTAGAACCTGTCCACCAGGGGACAGCGGGTCCATTTGGACCTCTAGAACCTGTCCATCAGGGGACAGCGGGAAACCTGTCCACCAGGGGACAGCGGGTCCATTTGGACCTCTAGAACCTGTCCACCATGGGACAGCGGGGAACATGTCCACCAGGGGACAGCGGGTCCATTTGGACCTCTAGAACCTGTCCACCAGGGGACAGCGGGGAACCTGTCCACCAGGGGACAGCGAGGAACCTGTCCACCAGGGGACAGCGAGCAACCTGTCCACCAGGGGACAGCAGGTCCATTTGGACCTCTTGAACCTGTCCACCGGGGGACAGCAGGTCCATTTGGACCTCTAGAACCTGTCCACCAGGAGACAGCGGGGAACCTGTCCACCAGGGGACAGCGGGGAACCTGTCCACCAGGGGACAGCGAGGAACCTGTCCACCAGGGGACAGCGGGGAACCTGCCCACCAGGGGACAGCAGGTCCATTTGGACCTCTTGAACCTGTCCACCAGGGGACAGCGGGTCCATTTGGACCTCTAGAAGCTGTCCACCAGGGGACAGCGGGTCCATTTGGACCTCTAGAACCTGTCCACCAGGGGACAGCGGGTCCATTTGGACCTCTAGAACCTGTCCACCAGGGGACAGCGGGGAACCTGTCCACCAGGGGACAGCGGGTCCATTTGGACCTCTAGAACCTGTCCACCAGGGGACAGTGGGTCCATTTGGACCTCTAGAACCTGTCCACCAGGGGACAGCGGGGAACCTGTCCACCAGGGGACAGCGGGTCCATTTGGACCTCTAGAACCTGTCCACCAGGGGACAGTGGGTCCATTTGGACCTCTAGAACCTGTCCACCAGGGGACAGTGGGGAACCTGTCCACCAGGGGACAGCGGGTCCATTTGGACATCTAGAAGCTGTCCACCAGGGGACAGCGGGGAACCTGTCCACCAGGGGACAGCGAGGAACCTGTCCACCAGGGGACAGCGAGCAACCTGTCCACCAGGGGACAGCGGGTCCATTTGGACATCTAGAACCTGTCCACCAGGGGACAGTGAGGAACCTGTCCACCAGGGGACAGTGGGTCCATTTGGACCTCTAGAACCTGTCCACCAGGGGACAGCGGGGAACCTGTCCACCAGGGGACAGCGAGCAACCTGTCAACCAGTGGACAGCGGGGAACCTGTCCACCAGGGGACAGCAGGTCCATTTGGACTTCTAGAACCTGTCCACCAGGGGACAGCGGGGAACCTGTCCACCAGGGGACAGCAGGTCCATTTGGACTTCTAGAACCTGTCCACCAGGGGACAGCGGGTCCATTTGGACCTCTAGAACCTGTCCACCAGGGGACAGCGGGGAACATGTCCACCAGGGGACAGTGGGTCCATATCGACCTCTAGAACCTGTCCACCAGGGGACAGCGGGGAACATGTCCACCAGGGGACAGCGGGTCCATTTGGACCTCTAGAACCTGTCCACCAGGGGACAGCGGGTCCATTTGGACCTCTAGAACCTGTCCACCAGAGGACAGCGGGGAACCTGTCCACCAGGGGACAGCGAGCAACCTGTCCACCAGGGGACAGCAGGTCCATTTGGACCTCTTGAACCTGTCCACCGGGGGACAGCAGGTCCATTTGGACCTCTAGAACCTGTCCACCAGGAGACAGCGGGGAACCTGTCCACCAGGGGACAGCGAGGAACCTGTCCACCAGGGGACAGCGGGGAACCTGCCCACCAGGGGACAGCAGGTCCATTTGGACCTCTTGAACCTGTCCACCAGGGGACAGCAGGGAACATGTCCACCAGGGGACAGCGGGTCCATTTGGACCTCTAGAACCTGTCCACCAGGGGACAGCGAGGAACCTGTCCACCAGGGGACAGCGGGGAACCTGTCTACCAGGGGACAGCAGGTCCATTTGGACCTCTAGAACCTGTCCACCAGGGGACAGCAGGGAACATGTCCACCAGGGGACAGCGGGTCCATTTGGACCTCTAGAACCTGTCCACCAGGGGACAGCGGGTCCATTTAGACCTCTAGAACCTGTCCACCAGGGGACAGCGGGTCCATTTGGACCTCTAGAAGCTGTCCACCAGGGGACAGCGGGTCCATTTGGACCTCTAGAACCTGTCCACCACGGGACAGCGGGTCCATTTGGACCTCTAGAACCTGTCCACCAGGGGACAGCGGGTCCATTTGGACCTCTAGAACCTGTCCACCAGGGGACAGCGGGTCCATTTGGACCTCTAGAACCTGTCCACCAGGGGACAGTGGGTCCATTTGGACCTCTAGAACCTGTCCACCAGGGGACAGCGGGTCCATTTGGACATCTAGAAGCTGTCCACCAGGGGACAGCGGGGAACCTGTCCACCAGGGGACAGCGAGCAACCTGTCCACCAGGGGACAGCGGGTCCATTTGGACATCTAGAACCTGTCCACCAGGGGACAGTGAGGAACCTGTCCACCAGGGGACAGTGGGTCCATTTGGACCTCTAGAACCTGTCCACCAGGGGACAGCGGGGAACCTGTCCACCAGGGGACAGCGAGCAACCTGTCCACCAGTGGACAGCGGGGAACCTGTCCACCAGGGGACAGCAGGTCCATTTGGACTTCTAGAACCTGTCCACCAGGGGACAGAGGGTCCATTTGGACCTCTAGAACCTGTCCACCAGGGGACAGCGGGTCCATTTGGACCTCTAGAACCTGTCCACCAGGGGACAGCGGGTCCATTTGGACCTCTAGAACCTGTCCACCAGGGGACAGCGGGTCCATTTGGACCTCTAGAACCTGTCCACCAGGGGACAGCGGGTCCATTTGGACTTCTAGAACCTGTCCACCAGGGGACAGCGGGTCCATTTGGACTTCTAGAACCTGTCCACCAGGGGACAGCGGGTCCATTTGGACTTCTAGAACCTGTCCACCAGGGGACAGCGGGGAACCTGTCCACCAGGGGACAGCGGGTCCATTTGGACCTGCAGCAGAACCGGGCCAGAACTAACAGAACCGCCATTAGAACCTGCTGAACCGGGCTAGAACTAACAGAACCTGCATTAGAACCTGCCGAACCGGGCCAGAACTAACAGAACCTGCATTAGAACCTGCCGAACCGGGCCAGAACTAACAGAACCGCCATTAGAACCTGCTGAACCGGGCCAGAACTAACAGAACCTCCATTAGAACCTCCAGCGGAACCGGGCCAGAACTAACAGAACCTCCATTAGACCCTGCCGAACCGGGCCAGAACTAACAGAACCTGCATTAGAACCTGCCGAACCGGGCCAGAACTAACAGAAGCTCCATTAGAACCTGCTGAACCGGGCCAGAACTAACAGAACCGCCATTAGAACCTCCAGCAGAACCGGGCCAGAACTAACAGAACCTCCATTAGAACCTGCCGAACCGGGCCAGAACTAACAGAACCTGCATTAGAACCTGCCGAACCGGGCCAGAACTAACAGAACCGCCATTAGAACCTGCTGAACCGGGCCAGAACTAACAGAACCTGCATTAGAACCTGCCGAACCGGGCCAGAACTAACAGAACCGCCATTAGAACCTGCTGAACCGGGCCAGAACTAACAGAACCTCCATTAGAACCTGCCGAGCCGGGCCAGAACTAACAGAACCGCCATTAGAACCTGCCGAACCGGGCCAGAACTAACAGAACCTCCATTAGAACCTGCCGAACCGGGCCAGAACTAACAGAACCGCCATTAGAACCTGCCGAACCGGGCCAGAACTAACAGAACCTGCATTAGAACCTGCCGAACCGGGCCAGAACTAACAGAACCTCCATTAGAACCTGCCGAACCGGGCCAGAACTAACAGAACCTGCATTAGAACCTGCCGAACCGGGCCAGAACTAACAGAACCGCCATTAGAACCTGCTGAACCGGGCCAGAACTAACAGAACCTGCATTAGAACCTGCCGAACCGGGCCAGAACTAACAGAACCGCCATTAGAACCTGCTGAACCGGGCCAGAACTAACAGAACCTCCATTAGAACCTGCCGAGCCGGGCCAGAACTAACAGAACCGCCATTAGAACCTGCCGAACCGGGCCAGAACTAACAGAACCTCCATTAGAACCTGCCGAGCCGGGCCAGAACTAACAGAACCGCCATTAGAACCTGCTGAACCGGGCCAGAACTAACAGAACCTCCATTAGAACCTGCCGAGCCGGGCCAGAACTAACAGAACCGCCATTAGAACCTGCCGAACCGGGCCAGAACTAACAGAACCTCCATTAGAACCTGCCGAGCCGGGCCAGAACTAACAGAACCGCCATTAGAACCTGCTGAACCGGGCCAGAACTAACAGAACCTCCATTAGAACCTGCCGAGCCGGGCCAGAACTAACAGAACCGCCATTAGAACCTGCCGAACCGGGCCAGAACTAACAGAACCTCCATTAGAACCTGCCGAACCGGGCCAGAACTAACAGAAGCTTAGTTGTTTTACTCATCCTGATGTTCTGATTGTTGTTGTTCTGACATGTGCAGCTGTTCAACATCTGCATCAATAAATTCTGGTCAATAATCGATGGACTGACTGTGTCTTTATTTCTAAACCGAAGGCGCCCCCTGCTGCTGGGGAGGAGAAGCACACCAGAACCTCAGAGCCCATGTGTTTCTGCTTACAGACCAGAACCAGTAGAAGATTCTGGTCCTCCAGAGGTTCTAGAAGGACCCATGTCAATGTTCTGAGGTTCTGGTGTCTCCTGTCCAGTCTGGAGGACAGATGTTTCCGGTCTTTATAGAACCAGTCAGTCTGAATGGAACCATCTCTCTGGTTCTGATCATCCTGGACCTTTCAGAACCACAGGCTTGTTCCTGCAGCAGGGGGGGGCTGTTCCTGAAGCAGGGGGGGCTGTTCCTGCAGCAGGGGGCGCTGTTCCTGCAGCAGGGGGCGCTGTTTCGCTGCTGAGAAGCGTAGAAGAAGAAGCGGCTCCGGTCAGCGCAGCAGCTTAGCCTGTTAGCTTGGAGGCTAACAGCTTTGCTATGAAGGTTCTTCTGTGAAACGGTGAGTTCTGGTTCCGCTCTCCGTCGGTCATGACTCGGACCGGTCCCGGACCCTCGGGTACCGCGGGTCGGAACTATCTGCCGGTTCGGTTCCAGTCTGGAAGCCAGAACCGAACCGGCAGATCACCATGAAGCTAATCCAGACCGGAACCGGTGGAACCTGGAGCCCAAAGCTGGGAGGAACCGTTCAGAGATTCTGGTTCGGCTCCGCAGGAGGTTCGGCTGAACACCTTCCGAAGTTCTGCTCAGCTCCAGCTGTCCGGTTCTGATCCCCGTTTCCATGGTAACAGGGTTTCTGGTCTGTCATGGGTCAAAGTTCTGGTCCGTCCAGAACTTCCTCCGCTGTGGAGGTTCGGTTCTGATTAGAGCTGAAACCGATAATCCCATTAATCCACCAGAGGAATAATCTGTTAATCTGGATTATAGAGACTGCTGCCTTTAATCCGCTTTCCACCAAGACTGGAAAATAGACATTCTTTAGACATTTAGAATTTCAGATAAACTGTGAATATTCTCCACCCAGAAGAGGAAAAGTTTTAATTTCACTTCGTTTAATTCTGTAGAATTCTTCTTTAATGAACCTTTTTCTCTTAATTAACAAACAATGAACAGAATAATCGATTTACAAAACAATCGTGAGTTGGAGGCCTGGTTCTATCGGTTCCACTGAACCGGATCAACGCTGAGGTTCTGGTTCTGATGAGAAAAACACCCAGAGCGTCTTTTAAAGGCCTGTAACCTCAAAGGCCTGTAACCTCTGTTAGAGTAGAAGAACGAAAATAAGAAACGGTTATAGAGAGAAAACTACACCGTTATTTTATAAAGCTAAAACATCTATAGAGAGAAAACTACACCGTTATTTTATAAAGCTAAAACCTCCATAGAGAGAAAACTACACCATTATTTTATAAAGCTAAAGCCCCCATTTATAGAGAGAAAACTACACCGTTATTTTATAAAGCTAAAACATCTATAGAGAGAAAACTACACCGTTATTTTATAAAGCTAAAACCTCCATAGAGAGAAAACTACACCATTATTTTATAAAGCTAAAGCCCCCATTTATAGAGAGAAAACTACACCGTTATTTTATAAAGCTAAAGCCCCCATTTATAGAGAGAAAACTACACCGTTATTTTATAAAGCTAAAGCCCCCATTTATAGAGAAAACTACACCGTTATTTTATAAAGCTAAAACATCTATAGAGAGAAAACTTAACCATTATTTTATAAAGCTAAAACATCTATAGAGAGAAAACTACACCGTTATTTTATAAAGCTAAAACAGCTATAGAGAGAAAACTACACCGTTATTTTATAAAGCTAAAGCCCCCATTTATAGAGAGAAAACAAGACCGTTATTTTATAAAGCTAAAGCCCCCATTTATAGAGAGAAAACTACACCGTTATTTTATAGTTAAAGCTAAAGCCCCCATTTATAGAGAGAAAACTACACTGTTATTTTATAGTTAAAGCTAAAGCCCCCATTTATAGAGAGAAAACTACACCGTTATTTTATAGTTAAAGCTAAAGCCCCCATTTATAGAGAAAACTACACCGTTATTTTATAGTTAAAGCTACATCCCCCATTTATAGAGAGAAAACTACACCGTTATTTTATAGTTAAAGCTAAAGCCCCCATTTATAGAGAGAAAACTACACCGTTATTTTATAGTTAAAGCTAAAGCCCCCATTTATAGAGAGAAAACTACACCGTTGTTTTATAAAGCTAAAGCCCCTATTTATAGAGAGAAAACTACACCGTTATTTTATAGTTAAAGCTAAAGCCCCTATTTATAGAGAGAAAACTACACCGTTATTTTATAGTTAAAGCTAAAGCCCCTATTTATAGAGAGAAAACTACACCGTTATTTTATAGTTAAAGCTAAAGCCCCTATTTATAGAGAGAAAACTACACCGTTATTTTATAGTTAAAGCTAAAGCCCCCATTTATAGAGAGAAAACTACACCGTTATTTTATAGTTAAAGCTAAAGCCCCCATTTATAGAGAGAAAACTACACCATTATTTTATAGTTAAAGCTAAAGCCCCTATTTATAGAGAGAAAACTACGCCGTTATTTTATAGTTAAAGCTAAAGCCCCCATTTATAGAGAGAAAACTACACCATTATTTTATAGTTAAAGCTAAAGCCCCCATTTATAGAGAGAAAACTACACCGTTATTTTATAGTTAAAGCTAAAGCCCCCATTTATAGAGAGAAAACTACACCATTATTTTATAGTTAAAGCTAAAGCCCCCATTTATAGAGAGAAAACTACACCGTTATTTTATAAAGCTAAAGCCCCCATTTATAGAGAGAAAACTACACCGTTATTTTACCGTTGAAGCTGCTGATCTCTATTTATTCACTGGATTGCTGATTGAGAAAAGTTAAGTCAGCAGCCGCCATATTGGTACTCCCCACTCCCACGGAGACCTGCTATAAAAACTCCTACATGTGTCTCATTGGGCTGCAGGAAGACGTTCCACTGGTCATTTCCCAGTCAGAATAAATCCATCTATAGCTGCTGGATCCTATAGGATAGTCTGTAGACTAACATTAGTCTGTAGACTAACATTAGTCTGGCTATCTCAGACTGACTGGAAGACATTGACTGAGTTAGACGCTGACATTGGGTCTAACATTAGAAAATAGAAAGTAGAGGAAATAGAAAGTCATTCACTGGGAAATGTTAATGTAGGAATTCTTTATTAGTGCATGATGCTGTCGTTTTTGCAGTGTTTGGTTTACCGTAAATCCTCTAATATATTTATTTATTTCACTCAGGTGCATCTTTATGAAGGACCAACTCTGCCATATTTAAAAATAAATACAGAAATAAATAAATGCTCAATAAATGTATAAGCATACAATTAATTGCCAACAAAAAAGTGAGACATAAATGTATATAACTCTTAATTAGCTTCTTTATTTATTTGCCTTTGTAATATTTACCTTATTTATTTTTCTGTCCTTTATAATCTTCAACTTTATTTTTTAATTACTTATATTTTTAAGTATTTATCTATGTGCATCTTATAATATTTTTGTCTGTTTTATTCTTCCTTTGTATTTTTTTACCTTAGTTATTTCTTCGCCGCTGTTTATTTCTCTCTGCCCTTTTTACATTTCTCTCTGCCCTTTTTACATTTCTCTCTGCCCTTTTTACATTTCTCTCTGCCCTTTTTACATTTCTCTCTGCCCTTTTTACATTTCTCTCTGCCCTTTTTACATTTCTCTCTGCCCTTTTACATTTCTCTCTGCCCTTTTACATTTCTCTCTGCCCTTTTTACATTTCTCTCTGCCCTTTTTACATTTCTCTCTGCCCTTTTTACATTTCTCTATGTCCTTTTTACATTTCTCTCTGCCCTTTTACATTTCTCTCTGCCCTTTTTACATTTCTCTATGCCCTTTTACATTTCTCTCTGCCCTTTTTACATTTCCCTCTGCCCTTTTTACATTTCTCTCTGCCCTTTTTACATTTCTCTCTGCCCTTTTTACATTTCTCTCTGGCCTTTTACATTTCTCTCTGCCCTTTTTACATTTCTCTCTGCCCTTTTTACATTTCTCTCTGCCCTTTTACATTTCTCTCTGCCCTTTTTACATTTCTCTCTGCCCTTTTTACATTTCTCTATGTCCTTTTTACATTTCTCTATGCCCTTTTACATTTCTCTCTGCCCTTTTTACATTTCTCTATGCCCTTTTACATTTCTCTATGCATTTTTACATTTCTCTCTGCCCTTTTTACATTTCTCTCTGCCCTTTTTACATTTTTCTCTGCCCTTTTTACATTTCTCTCTGCCCTTTTTACATTTCTCTCTGCCCTTTTTACATTTCTCTATGCCCTTTTTACATTTCTCTATGCCCTTTTTACATTTCTCTCTGCCCTTTTTACATTTCTCTCTGCCCTTTTACATTTCTCTCTGCCCTTTTTACATTTCTCTCTGCCCTTTTTACATTTCTCTCTGCCCTTTTTACATTTCTCTCTGCCCTTTTACATTTCTCTCTGCCCTTTTTACATTTCTCTCTGCCCTTTTTACATTTCTCTCTGCCCTTTTACATTTCTCTCTGCCCTTTTTACATTTCTCTCTGCCCTTTTTACATTTTTCTCTGCCCTTTTTACATTTCTCTCTGCCCTTTTTACATTTCTCTATGCCCTTTTTACATTTCTCTATGCCCTTTTTACATTTCTCTCTGCCCTTTTTACATTTCTCTCTGCCCTTTTACATTTCTCTCTGCCCTTTTTACATTTCTCTCTGCCCTTTTTACATTTCTCTATGCCCTTTTACATTTCTCTCTGCCCTTTTTACATTTCTCTCTGCCCTTTTTACATTTCTCTCTGCCCTTTTACATTTCTCTATGCCCTTTTTACATTTCTCTCTGCCCTTTTTACATTTCTCTATGCATTTTTACATTTCGCTCTGCCCTTTTACATTTCTCTATGCCTTTTTACATTTCTCTCTGCCCTTTTTACATTTCTCTCTGCCCTTTTTACATTTCTCTCTGCCCTTTTTACATTTCTCTATGCATTTTTACATTTCTCTCTGCCCTTTTTACATTTCTCTCTGCCCTTTTTACATTTCCCTCTGCCCTTTTTACATTTCTCTATGGCCTTTTACATTTCTCTATGCCCTTTTTACAGTTCTCTCTGCCCTTTTTACATTTCTCTCTGCCCTTTTTACATTTCTCTCTGCCCTTTTTACATTTCTCTATGCCCTTTTACATTTCTCTCTGCCCTTTTTACATTTCTCTCTGCCCTTTTTACATTTCTCTCTGCCCTTTTTACATTTCTCTATGCCCTTTTACATTTCTCTCTGCCCTTTTTACATTTCTCTCTGCCCTTTTTACATTTCTCTCTGCCCTTTTACATTTCTCTATGCATTTTTACATTTCTCTCTGCCCTTTTTACATTTCTCTCTGCCCTTTTTACATTTCCCTCTGCCCTTTTTACATTTCTCTATGCCCTTTTACATTTCTCTCTGCCCTTTTTACATTTCTC